AATTGTACCATTTGGTAGTTGTTGTGGCATATGTGGCTCTACCGTAAAATTTGCTGTAGAATACTGTGAAAACGATATGTTAAATTTGCTGCGAGATATTATAGCAAAAGGTCTCAAGGCCCAATCTTTGGAAGAGGATATAGACTTTTATGTCAATTACATCAATTCCCATAATTATGGCAATTATTTGCAGGCTATCATTGTAGATCGTGATGGTTATTCTGAGAAAAGTGTAAAATTTATGAAATATCTTAATGAAACCATAGACTGGTCTAAAAAATTGAAATTAGAACCTCAACACATATATGGTTTTGAATTTTCTGGTCGTCCCTATAATCCTAATGTTACTTTTGGTTCAATGCTATTGATTCTATTATGTTTAATATTCGTTAGCATTGTGGCTTTGGTTATATTTGCTCACTATCAACCCGACAATCGTTATCTGCACTATGTCCCCCGCTGGGTTTATGATCCCCGTTTATGGCGTGCATTTGTCAATAGGTCGAATAATGTTTTCGCACGCTTCGATAATACCAGAGCTAGTATACAAACTATGACAGCGGAGAGTAATAGAAAAAAAGCTTTTACTATGGGATATGATCCCGAAAGTGGCCGTGTTAGAGAGCAAGCCTTTGATAATCCCATGTTTGGTGAAGTACCGACAACATCACAAGCAGCAGCTGCACGTAAAGAGGAAACGAAGCAAGAGCTGCAAAAGGAAGATGTTATAAAAGATGTGGCTCAAGAAGTTCCCCAGCTTGTTATAGAAAGTGTTGATATCATCGATAGTGTGGAGAGGGAAGAGGAAGAAGAGCAGGAATTGACGGAAATTAAATTGGAATCTTCATCTGAAGATGATGACGAAGAACAAGAAACTGTGGAATAATTATTTTATAGATTATTGATATTAATATTGAAATATACATTATAAATGTTAGTATGCATATAATATAAAATTTAAGATGTAAATTTTCGAAGACTTTCTCAATGTTGAAATAAAGGCGAGCTGAAAACCCGTTTATTTAAGCATCGAGAAACTAGCAGCCCTTTTTTTGCTTATTTAAACCTTATTTTCGATCTTCATTTAAAAGTTAAAAAAATATCTACATATCGAGGGACTATATTCCAATAGTCGCTATCTGTCATTTTCATGAAATGAGATTTTTGATGGCAAAATATTCAGGCAAACTATCCCGCATCAGTGATATAAATTTCAAAGAAAAAAAATATTTTTTGGCAATTTTATAGCTTTTTTTAAATTTCTCTATCTTAAAAAAAGAAAAATTCTGAATGCAAAACTCCTCTATCTTATCCAAAAATTGCTTCAAACTCTATCCCTTTGGATGATTTTCTGTTGCAAAACAAGTCTTCTTAATAATTTGGACATGCTGAACACAAATCCGTCAAAATATTTAAAATCGGTCTAATAGTTTTTGAGATATCGCTCATTATGATACTAATTAAATCAATTTTATTGTCCGTGTTTAACCATATAACTTTGATTTTGGACCAAAACATTATAATCTGTTGCTTTTTCAACAACTTGGTTTATTTTCCTCCATTAAATTGTATAAAATATAATATTTATTGATTTTAATTCAAATAAAAATTTTATATTTCCATGAAAAACTCTCTATCTGTTGGTTGAATGAATATTTTCGTAGAAAATAAGCTCTATCTGATATAAATTTGTGAATAATTTTGCAAATAATGCAAAATTTAAAATTCTTTTTATATAAGGGTTTAGTATATGGTCGTAGAAATATATTGTAGAAGAAAAAATTTAAAAATCTTCACTAACTAGCGAAATAAACAGTTTTTTTTGCTCTCCTGAAAACTTGTATTATTTTAGATAGGGACTACTGAATATAGTCCCTCGATATATATTTATTTCTTTATATGTAAATCAATACAAAAAGATTTTCCATTACAAAAGAATTACATCCTTGACACTTAAAATGTAAGATTTTAAACCAAGTGTCCTCTACCAGTGGACAAAAGGTCATTTCACATTGACAAATCTTCTATTCATTTACGATTGATTATTGATTGAGTGGTTGTATGCACATTATGAACGATTCAAGTTCAAGAAATACAACATGCATTAGCAAGTAATTTAACTTTATTTATACCTATGTACATATAATTTCCCTATTCAAAAATAATTCATAGGTATTCTATTTTAACCATAGAATAATTTTTCAAACTAAAAAAATCAATAAATTATTGAGTTCAGTTTAATAATAAATATGTATGTATCAGTGCGTAATTGTTGATAGGTAAGCAGGTGTACTTCCTATCTATTTATTCTTTCGCCCTGTTCCAACATTTTAATGATACATAATAACATGTTGGGGATTTGTTTAGATAGTAAATATGTATTTTAACTATTCTACCATGTTGTATGTGTCTAACCTTATTTAGTTAAGGAATTATTAATAATAAATTCCTTTTTGTCAGATACATAATTATGTATTTCTAAAACTAATAGAAAGAGTTTTAAGGACTTATTACATGTTTAAGATTGTAATGATGATTAAATTAAATGTGGGTAATTTGGGAGTCTTAAAAGAGATGATTGTAAAGTACATAACACAAAACTTCTAATAATTTACAAATCCTTCACAAATAATTAATATGTTTATTAAAAAAATAGTATATTTTATAAATTATTTTAAATTTTATAATAAAAATATTTATATTTTTCCAATTCTTCAGTATAAATATCTATTTTTGTAAATTATTTAAAAATAGTTGTTTTTTGAGTTTTTTTTTTTTTTTTTTTTTGTAAAAAATGTAATAATCAATTAGAAAATAAAAAAAAAATTATAAAACTAACTACCCACTTCCCATACTACCAACTTTTCCTTCTGTGTCTACCCTTCTAAAAATAGTAAAATGGCAATACTGTTTTTTATTTTCTCTTTATTTCATTCTCTTTGAATTATTGCATATTGTTGTTGCTGTTCTTTTTTTTATTAAATCAATCCGCAATCCACCAAAAAATTGATTAATTTTCAGAAGTGTTTTTAATACGGTTTTGTTCGGGGTAGTAGATAAAACGCTAAATATTTTAGTATTGTCTTTTGTGTTTAATAATTAGAAATTGTTTATTAAACTTATTTTAATAAAATGGCAAAAAGTAAAGTAAATTCAGTGGCAGAAACAGCGTATGGCGGCATTTATAATACCTTACGTATTTTGGTACACTTGACGGCTGCTGTACAATTTTCCTATTCCATTTATTATGATCATACTTACGTACATTTTCCGGTCTCCGATAGCAATATGCACAATCCATTTGGTGGCAAATTTAAATATTTAACATTTCTAGATGCGGTATGTAAAAGTGTACAAAAATTTCAATTTTCATTTAAATGGCAGACAGGTGAAAGTTTAAACTTGAAAATATAGTTTGTTATAATCGCAGGGCAAAGTCTACAATTGTTTCTCTGT